GCTTGTGTGATGTATTTTATGGTGCTTTTGACGTGGTCTTCAGGTGTCAGGTCGGAGTCCAGGCTTAGTTTGTGTTTTGTCTTAGTGCTTCAAGATTTTTACATTCATATAGTAAATGGTTCACGGATAGTTGCACGTGGCAATCGTCGCAGTATGGGAGTCCCGTTTTCTTGAACAGGTATTCGTGCATTGTTCGGGTGTGTCCAGTCCTCGGGCCAATATTGTTTTTTCTTTCCTGTTGAGCTCGCGGTGGGGAACTTGTAGGAAGAAATCTTCCATTTGGTGGTGACTTCCTGACCTTTTTGAGGTAGTCCATGTCCTATTCCATTCTTCTCTGATGTTCCTTTTTGCGTGGTTTATGGTTTTTTGCAGAGGGATAGGAGCTTTGATTTCATGTGGTTGGAGTTTTGTCGCTTCCTTCGAGCGGATGTCTGCTGTTTCGTTTCCGCTAATTCCCTGGTGGGAAGGTATCCAGGTGATGGTTATGGTTTTATTTCTATTGTTGTGTTCAGTGTATATCACTAAGATATTTTTGATGATGTTATTGTCTTTGTTCAGGGGTTTTGAAAGGGCTTGGATTACGCTCAGGGAATCTGTGTATTCCCTCAGGGAATTTGTGATTTGTCTTTTCCTAAAATCACCAATCAGTTTACTCCGGTGCGTCGCAACCTCCCTCCATTTCGCCCTTAGTGCGTTATCTTAGGGTGGGGTGTACAATGACCGGAGAAAGTGTTCGGTGGACGGATGCGTGGGAATCCTGTGGAATCTGCGCTTTTCTAGGCTTTGTTAACGTCAAGTGGCCCATCGACGTTGGCAAAAGTCGTGGGCCACTTTTCTATTTTTCGTTCGGAGACTCCAGGATTTATGGCAGGGTCTGGTCCTAGGGACTAAGTGTCGCAGGCAACGCAATAAACACTTGTGGTGTTTTGAGGAAGCGATATTTGCCTGCGACGGCGACCACTTGACGTTGTGGTTCCTTAGATTTTAAACGTAAGACTAAACTTCCCTTGTTTGGGCCCAGTATTTATATGGGGCCCTACTGGAGGGGATGGACGCTGTGGCATGCGCGTGGGGTGAAGAAATTTCGGAAGAGGACTCGGAAAATCGCGGTATCGGGAAAAGCCATCTTGGCGTCGGTCTGAAATGCAGGGAAGGTGTCCTAACGGATCGGGCGAATTTTTAAGGAGATGTGTATCATAGGACATGGAAAATCCATTCGCATACCACAGGTCGGGTGCCGCCTACCGCGACTGGACTAAGTGTCGCAGGCAACGTAATAAACACTTGTGGTGTTTTGAGGAAACGATATTTGCCTGCGACGGCGACCACTTTCCCGTGGCGGTCGCCACAGTAATAGAAAATTGGTGGTACCTTACTACATATTATACAAGTTAAAGGTGATTGACTCCTTAACCTGTAACAACGTGTCGGACTCGTGGCAAAGATTCTGGTGAAGATGTGAGAAAAATTAATTATAATCCTAACTTTCGTTTCAATTCACAAGACTGAGGATTACCACGTGTATACTATGTTCAAAATGAGAGTAACCTCGCTTTGCGCATGGGACGTGCCTAAGGCAGGGCTAGAACCACTAGAACGTCCACACCCCCACTTAACCGCCTACGTTTGTCTCCGTCTTACCCTCTGTCTATGCGTAGAACGGACGAGAATCGGTCCGAGAGCGAGGTTACTCTCATTTTGAACGATGTATAGAATGTATATAGTTTTTGGTCAAATTAAAAGATCTTCCAATGCAAAAGATTAAGAGACGACACTTGACAGGTATAGGTACCGCCTGCGTTGCAATGGAATCATCCAATGTGTCGTGACAATTTAAAGATAAAATGAAGTGAAGAAGATCCAAAAGTGGGTCCCTCGTGAATGAACGAAAGTCAGAGAAATTTCTCAATCGACTGATAACATGTGATGAAAAATGAATTCCTTATAATAATCAACGAACGTTTGCTCAATGGTTAGATGCAAATAAACCACCAAAATCTTTCCCATTCTTCAAATAAATTATAAAAATATGTAAGTATACCTACTGAGCCAACAACTTCGGAACAACAGGATCTTTTTGACAATGAAAGTGGAACTTTTCATAATTTATAATATCGGTTCAGACACGGAATGGTTTTCGTTCAAACAATATTTTCGGTAATAAAATTCGACTGTTTATATATGTATATGTATGTACTTATGTATATAGCGTAGCGGATAATACCGCGGGTACCATCCGGCATTCTTGGTAAGAATGTTTTATCTGATGCGATACGTGTCTGAATATGTCGAACATACATACATAATTGAACAGCATAACTACGTTTTCTTTTCATCTAATAATAATCCTAGGCAGGCTACATCTATTAGAGATAAATACGAAAACATTATTAAGCAATAGCTTCTACAAAACAAATGGCTCGTACACAATAAATTGTAATTATAAAGGAAACCTCAAGAAAAGTATTAATATTTTTTAAGATTTAGAAAAGTGAAAAGCAAACATTTCTTTATTTTTCCTGAATAATAAAAATAGTTTCGTTGTTTTAAAAAATAGCTTATGAATTCCGTGTCTCAAAAATCGACACGTGGTTCATTTGTTACCGACTGCTCACGCGAGGCTCGATCGTTGCCTATTGTTCATAGAAGGGTAACTGCAATAGCCTTATTCAATCGTGATTGGCTGGCTATCAGCGAAGACGTAAGAGTAACTGCGAAAGCCTTATTTTATCGCTATTGGCTGATTAACAGCGAGATGTCGCAATTTCTCCTACTTACATCCAGGTCTGTAGTGGAGGGTGTACGTCGTATACCCTGTGGTTTGATCTGAACAAATAGCGTATACCCTGTGCTTATTGAAAATTTAAAAAATTTTGAGACATTAAATGTTTGAATATTCACATAAATATTTTAAATTGTGTGAGAAAATCCGTCCCGAAGACGGTGAAGCGAGCACCTTGAAGCCAGGCCCAGCGCGCTCGGTGGGGACGGACTCGTCCCTTTGGGTTTTTCCCTGGGCCTGTTCGCGTAGGGCAGGACAGGGATCGGCAGTCCTCACTCTTCACGAGACCCTCGAAGCACACTTTTTTGCGAACGACGCTCAGATAACGCGGATATAATTCTTGTGTAACAAACGTAGACACGTTCAATTAATTTCACGCCCACTTTACTCCGAGTCAGAGTACTTTCTGACAATATTTTCAATATTTAATTATTACTATGCCGTGTTTAATGGCTGCGAGGTGGATGAGGAAATATAGTCTGAGTAGAAAAACTGCGTTCAGCGTAAATACGCAGGGTTTTCATATAGAGAGGACAGAAAGACAGAAATAAAGATACTGATAAAGATAGGAAAGTGGTGGAAAGGGAAATTCATAGAAAACACGGTCATTCACCGTCGTGAAAATCTGAACGTCACATGTGTGCTTCCTAGGCTACTCGAGGACGAAGGCAAGATTCTTAACAGCGGAAAGAAAAAAGAGAAAACTGAAAATCTGAAGAAGTCGGAAAAGAGGAAGTTTGTGCAGAAGAATAGAAAAAGGTTTCGCACAGTGCTCTGATAAGAGTGTGTCAAACAAGGATAAAATACAAAGGTCGAAGGACACTCGAAACGAGGGAAAGCCAAGTATATGTATACGCAACCTATGCGGTTGGACAGGACCAGAGCCGGGTTATTCTTCAAAAAACCACCGAGAAGCCTCACTTGTCTGCGCAAATTCAACGGCGCAGTGTCACCACTGCGGGGAAGAAAAGGACACTTCCTAGCACACGCTGGTGAAACGTCTAGCCTGAGTGGTGGCGAAAAGAGCGTTCAGGCGAGTTGTATGCTGGAGGGAGATAAGAGTTCGTGGACGAATTGGTATATGGCTAACCTGGGAGACACTGGGATAAAAGTATAGTCGATGGAAGAAATATAACGAGGTCGTAAAATCGGTCAGGCGTCAAAGTTTACGCGTTCGAGCATATCAAGAAGCGAATGGACAGAAACCTGAGAATATAAGGACTCGAAACCTCAATCAGGATCGCATGACGCATGCCTAAGCTTTGATTCAATCTGTTGCGAAAATCAGGAAAATTCGCTCCTTTAAGCGACTATAATTTAAAATACTTTTTAAACTGCGACAGTTGCCGGTGGTAGTTTCGCTGATTCCTGGCAGTGCGAGCGAAATAGTTTTGCATTGTCGTTGTCTAACCTACACACACGCATTCGTCCACAAAACCAGCCGAATGTTTGGGTTTAGGTGTCGATGACTTCAGATATCTATCTCACACTGATTACCTGTGATGACGTCACCAGGGCATCAACCTCGCCAGGTGATCGACCGCGGAAAATCAATTCAGTATCGACGAAATTTTTAAATTCCTCCGTTCGAGAATTTTCGGTGACAATCCCTTGGCAGGGTATAAAACGCGAGTCAGAAGACACTTCGCGGTCTTCTGCCTTTTGTCTTCTATGCGATTCTGAGGTACAAAACGTATCCAAGTATCTTCACCAGCGAGCTTCGCTGTAATTTCTTTCGCGCGTTAATATTGCCGTGATCGCCAACTTTTCTTTGCATTTCTATTGTTCTTGTGTATCATTGTATTTTCGTGTATTCTTCAATGTAATTGTTTCCTTACACGTCTAATTGATTCCGGTCTATTTCACACTGTAAGTATTACAAAACACAATCCTAATCGAAAAACGAAAAATTCCACTTTCGATCCTGTGTGTTACTGCGTCAAAGGGTCTGCGGCTACTTCATGCTTTAATTTACGACCTATCTGTATTTCTTGCACCCTTTTTCGACTTATACATATATTACTTGCAGCGTTGAATTCTTTTTACAATGTAAACGAATACTAAACCTGCTTCTGTTTATAAGTTGTGCAATTTCACTGTTGACTTTCCTTCTTTATATCACTTCCCTATTATTGTCCGGCAAAGCAAACTTGAGGCTTCTGACATCATCGTCTGACCAAAGAAACGGAAAATATCCTCGCTACTCTTCGGTCTTACACTGTCGTCGCTTGAGAGGAAGTTGCGGTGCTGCCAGGCTTTCCTTGATCCATCTGAAAAAAGTTGCTAAAGAAGGAAAAAGCGTGGAGTCAGCGATCGCTCCTCCCTCCGGCAGACACATGACGACTCTTAGAAGTAATGTTTGAAAGATTCATAGCGGAAAATGCATCTATCTCCTATCCACCGTCACCGGTCAGCGCTGTTAACCCTTTGACTGCTAATGACTTATACATATATAGGCTCTCTTATATTCATCGGTACACACCTATTCCCTGATTTACACGAAAGATCGGTTCCTCAGAATACTGTGTAAAACGAAATCATGGCTTTTTGGTATGGGAACCGTGTAAATTGAAATAAAAAGGAACAAAATGCGCATAATTGAGTCAGTTATTCAATTAAATTCATATATTTCAACGTAAAATAAAAATAAAATACAAATGAAAAAGAAAAAATATCAGCCAGAGTCAGGGTTTAGTGTCGAGCGAGCGATCGATGATAATAGCCGGTCGCCAATGAAAGATCCACGTCGGCAGCAAACTTTGTTATAATACAATATGAATGCTTTTTGTGTACAAAAGAAAGGGGAATACCCATTTTTAGGTTTAATATCAGTGTTAACAAACGAACGGTACTAAAAAATGTCTGTATAAATATGTGCGCAGCATAAATTTTCGTTTTTAGCAGTTTATATTTTTGAAAACCGTGTAAAAAAAAGTACCCTGTAAATCGGGAAATAGGCGTATATATACGACCAATAAAATTTGTTTACTACAATACATTTGCTGTTTTACTAAACTGGTGTAACGGTAGGCTTCTTGTTATATGACGCATAGTAACCGTATCCAAATGAACTTCGACGACAATTTCGTTATTGTGTGCTTACAATGTATTTTTTAGCGAGTCCCAGTGACATACATGCAAATATAGCGCCGCATAATCTGATGATTCTGAGCTAGAGCATGCCGCAATCAAAGAGTTAAACGCGCGTCTCTATTTATTGCATATTTTTTACCAGTTATTATCAGTTTTGACGGACAAACGTTGCATAGTAGCGTATCAAAATGTGATTAATTTTGGCTTTCGGGTGTAAGCCGTGTTCTTATAAAAAATTATACCGACGTTTCGTAAGCATTGCAGCTCACTTCATTAAGATGCGTGAAACACACTGACAATGGAGTGCGTTTAAAGGAGGCGTATTATTTATACAAAAGTTCATGTTCCGTTTTATTGCTCACCAATCAAGTAGATGTTTTTAATTGGCCAGCTGAACAATTAAAAGGGGCACGTACTCCCTTTACGTAGGGTTGCCATCCGTCCGGGTTTCCCCGGATTTGTCCTAGTTTTTAAGGCGTCCGTGGACTTCCGGGGAACTTTTCTGTAGTGACCCGGGTTTTCCGATGCTCGCTCGCTGTCCAAACTAGGAGTGATTTTCAAGTGTTGCGTTCGCATCAGACACATCAGAAGCAGTCTAAATGCAAACGCAGGAAAGGAAAAAAGAATAGAAGTGTCCGGGTTTCAAGCAGAAAAGTCCGGGGTTTTAATGCTCTGCATTCTAGATTAGTGACTTTATAAATGGCAACCCTACCTTTACGCATCAACCGTGGTACGGAGGCCACCAAATTTTTCTATGCTGTTCCGCCCGGTAGAAGATGGTTAGGGTCGCAATATCAGTCGCGGGAGATTCCTGGAAGTGTTTCCAAGAGTTCCCAGGGCTTCCTCTGCGCGCCTAACGAGGGCCACCCTTGGGGTTTTATTGGGTAGAAATCCCACTCTAACTTCCCGCCAAAGGAAAGCAGAGTATCTTTTAGATCTCCCACATGTAAAAAAAAAAGGGTATGTCTATTGTAATGATTGTTACTGTGAATAAATATGTTAGCTTTTGGCGGAGTTGTGACTATTTAAATTTAGATGACTAAATTGGACAAAACTTTTCCACCGACCTCATAGAAGCATAATCTAAATCACTATCACGTAAACTGTCTTTATCCAAAACAGGAAAAACTGCGCTTTGGATGCGGTTGTGGAAGAAATGAAATTGGACTCACTTGTTGATTATTTTGGATCTTTGCGGCGGATCTTGCGGTTTTTGTAGAAATCACGGTATCCTGCCAAATCCGTATATAAAGCTAGTTAGTTGCAGCTGCCAATCAAACGGTATTAATCGTTCCGATCTTAACACTTTTTTCATTTTACATTTCACTGTAGAGTGTAATTGAAGTTTGAGTATCGTATTTCTTATAACGTCTGTAGTATAACAAGTTCAAAGAAAACATTTCTCGGCGTGAATTTGCATCACGTAAATTTTCTATTCATTTCACTTGCTACTCCTTTTTCTCATTTTCAATTAAAAAATTATCCATAAAAATGGCGGAGGATAAGTCCGGTATTTTGTATCTCTTTGATCGACCTGCTGAGCCGGTTTACGTCCCCAAAGGAGAGAAGAAAGTCGCTTTTGATATTCCATCTGACTATTTGGTAAGTGTTATTCCTCGTTTTTTGAACTAACATTTAAATGAAATATGCAAATACTTTCTTTACGTACATAACACAGATATTTATATCCTCTTGTACTCGAGTTAAAGTTTATTTTGATATGTTTCATTTATTGTGCCAATGATATTACGATATCCAGTGATTTTTTATGATAATTTTTGCTAAATAATACTGTGAGGGAAGTTGAATAGAGGCGCAGTGAAGCATGCCTGTTGCCGATTGTTGATAATCGGCTTTTAAAGATGGAGAATTATTTTACGATAAAAATTAAAATTAATGTATTTGCTGTTATTACATTCCGGATTACACTAGTCTTGTAGCGTAAAAGATTAGTATTTTAAAATATTAAAACAAGATAAATACTTCCTCCATGAAGTATTTAATATGAAAGTAATGTATTAAACTAATATTTCGTATCTATTGAAAAAAAAACTAGTAAACAGTATAAATATTTCTTTTTAATTCAACATTATTTACGAGCGTTGCCATGATAATATAATAATTAAAAAGTATGTTCCTCAATTAAAAGGTATGCTCAAAATAGTTAAGTACTATATCTTCTACATATTATGCAATTATATAATAAAATTTTAAGCAATTTTATTATACAATAAAATTAGGCATTCATATTATTTTTGTTGTGAAAAAATTTTTGCTAGATTTTTAACGAAATTTCAATTACTCAGTATTAATCACTACATTCAGATCGAATTTTTTGATACTCAACGTTTTCAATAATTTGTTCAGCCTGACAGATATCGTCCCGTGGCTACTCAAGTGTTCAATCGTTTCGGTGACGATGCAGACACAAAACTTCAAGTGAAGCAGATTACACTTCCTGATCTTAGCATTCCGATGCAACTTGAACGTCATCAAGCATTTTCCTTGTTTATTCCATCGCATCGCAAAGGAGCTGCACGACTAATCAACATTTTTATGGGTAAACAAATCTCTTTTCACTTTTATATGTATTTCTATCTAGTTCTTTCACTTTTCCTTTTTAATTGATTAATATGTCATAATTTCATTAGAAACCAACTCTTATATCATTAGAAGTCAAAATCATAAAAATTCTAACAGAATATTAGTTTATAGACAATTAATGATAAATTCACAAGAACCGTGAATTCTTATCATTTCGATCTTCTTTTATACTTTTTACGATACTTCTTTTATACGTTTTTACTAGCTATTTCTTTAAAAACCGTTAAAGTATTATGTTACGCATAGTATACCGATTAGTAACTTACTTATTAATTATTCAGAAAATGGTATACCACGAAAAGTGAGCAATTTCAAGGATTCGTTTGTATGGTTGCTTAAGATGAATATAAACTTACTGTATACTCCTACTCCGAATCATTTAACAAAGTTGTTCAACTACTGTTTTTCCTTATCTTTCTGGAATTATTGTTTTGGCACTCGGATTACATGTACTTTGACGGCTGACTGATTTTACGACCGTACTATATTGTTTCCACCGACTATACATAGCAATTCACACTTGTATAACGCGGCCGTCGTTTTGTGAAAGTTAACAGATCGTTTTGCGAAAGTTAACAGTGTCTACACACATCTTTAACACATATTATATTTTTGTGAATTGGAACTATTTTTGATGATGAGACTAAATAATTTCGGATATCGGAAAATAGGGGTCATCCTAGAGAACACGTTACTCACATATGTAAAATTTATTGATTGTGTACTATTTTTTTATATTTTTGGCTATAGGTATGAGGACATACGACGACTTCCTATCTCTCGCGGTATATTGCCGTGATCGTATGAACCCACATTTGTTTATTTATGCCTTATCGGTGGCGATACTTCATCGTCCTGATACAAAGAACCTACCAGTACCACCATTGACTGAAGTATTTCCGGATAAATACATGGATAGTGGAATATTTGCTAGGGCCAGGGAGGAAGCTAACGTCGTTCCTGCAGGTGCAAGGGTATGTAGAGACATTCGTAATTTATAGATCTATCAAATGTAATTATGAGTCATTATTTTGAGAGATAAGTAAAATCATGAACATTTTTCATTGACTGTGTACATGAAAAATTTTACATGCAACATTAAGATTCGAGCCCTTTCATGGTACAGAAATGATTGCAACGAAGATTATTAGCAAAATATGTATTTAACAAGGTTATTAAAATAACGTAAATAGAGAAAATTTTTGGATCGACTAAATATATTTCTTGGACACAGGTACCACTTGAAATTCCACTAGATTACACTGCATCAGATCTTGATGAGGAGCATCGCGTTGCTTATTGGAGAGAAGATATTGGAATCAATCTTCATCACTGGCACTGGCATTTGGTCTATCCGGCTGAAGCTGACATGCGTATTGTTAACAAGGATCGACGTGGAGAACTCTTTTACTATATGCATCAACAGATCATGGCTAGGTTAGTGCTGAAAACACTAAAATTATACGAAACCTTTTATTTTTATTCTATTCACGTTAAGATTATGTAATACAGAACCTATTTGTAGAAATCAAAGTTATCAGATATTTGTATAATACAAAAACGTATCAAAATGAAACAGTTGCGATTTAAATACAACATTTGCAGGTACAATTGCGAACGTCTCAGTAATCGACTTACTCGAGTGAAGCGATATATCAATTGGCGTGAACCGATTCCAGAGGCTTATTTCCCAAAGCTAGATTCCCTAGTCGCCAGTCGAACATGGCCATCCCGAACGAGAGGCGCAATCCTGAAAGACATCAACCGACAAGTGGACGATTTGAACTTCGACATCCAGGATTTAGAAAGGTGGCGCGATCGTATCTATGAAGCGATCCACACGGGATCTGTGATTAATACAAGAGGCGAAAGGATTCCCTTGACCGAAAAAAGTGGCATCGACGTCCTTGGAAATATTGTGGAAGCTAGCATTTTGTCTCCTAATATGAATGTCTACGGTGATCTTCATAATTTCGGTCACGTCGCCATTTCTTATGTCCACGATCCCGATCATCGTTATTTGGTAAGCACGCACGAGACAATTACAGATGACAATGCATTGTTTCCTTGAAAATTGTTAGGTACTCGTGCGAAAATTCTAATTATTCTAAAGGAAGTTGGGCGTTATTGTAATATTATGCGACTTCTTAACTTTTAAGCCAATAGTTTATTTCGTAACCAGATTAACTGTTGCTGCTGCTTAAAATTTACTTTTTCTTTAAAATGTTAATATTAATATAATTTACGAAATATGAAAGTTTATATGTTGAAATTTTAACATATTAACGGTACAAAGAATGATTGTCTTATGAATTAAAGTGGCCTTGGTTTATGTTTCCGAATGTGTATTTACTAAACTACATAAAAGTATTGATTAGCAAACAACGAATATATTTTTTCACAATAGCCCACAGAATATTTACAATTCGCAAATCTTAGATCAAGTAACTAAATAATCAATATTTTTTTATTTTTAGGAAAGTTTTAGTATCATGGGTGATACAGCAACTGATATGAGGGATCCTATATTCTATAGATGGCATGCATTTATTGACGATATCTTCCAGGAACATAAAAACACGTTACCTCAGTACACCGTACAGCAGGTTTGATACTTTTTTTATATTTTCCAGTATTGTAGTTTAAATATCTTATTAAAATGTAAAATATAAATATCGTAGCTAAAAGGAATGAATTACAGTAAGGACGGCAGATAGAAAATTTAAAATAAAATTGAATCTTTAAAATAATAAATAAATATTCAAAGATTAGGCATACGTATAATAAAACTCTAACAATACGTGCTGTAGTATAATTTATTTTAACATCGACAATAACAGATAGTAGTAAGTTTGTACAATTACACTGTAGTTTGAAATTTTATCACATAAATATTATACACTGCTACGCATCTTTATACACTTCAACTTATGTATTATATATATTCATAGAAATTACACAGATCGGTGACTTGTATTAATAACTGTTGATATGACATTTTTCGTTTTTCGACTAGGACTGAATCAAAGCTAAAGCGTATTTCATGCAAGCCTGACTAAGGTTTCGGGTCCTTATATTCTCAGGTTTCTGTCCATTCGCTTGTTGATATGTTCGAACGTATAAACTTGGACGCCTAACCGATTTGACGCCCTCCCTATGTTTCTTCCATCGACTATACTTTTATCTCAGTGGCTCCCGGTATTAGCCATACGTCGATTCGTCCGCGTAAACTATCCCAGAGATTCCCGGCATTAACCATACACATCTTTGGCTCCTGGTGTTAGCCCGGATATACACCGGTTCGTCCTACTTTCCTAGCCATAGACCCGTTTTAACCATAAAGCCCAGGCTACACTCGCCGTGCTCCGCATACCGGTACTCGCAACGCGTGACAAGACTATAAAATTCAACTTGGAACAATCATTTTGATTAAATAATTTAGATATATTTGGTGAATTGATAAGACATAGGACTGAACTGTAACTGTTTCTTGCATAGGACTGATAACATTAACAGATAAACTTTATGTTTTATTGTTCACAGTTGGATTTCTCAGGTGTTGAAATAAGGGACGTTAGACTAACAACCAATCAGCAGCGAAATATTCTGAACACTTTCTGGACCAAGAGTGACGTTGATTTGTCCCGTGGACTCGATTTCACCCCACGAGGTGCAGTGCTCGCTAGATTCACCCATTTGAATTACGCCGAGTTTACATACACGATTATTGTTAACAATCGTAATGCGACGCGAAAAAGAGGCACCGTCCGCATCTATATAGCGCCAAAACAGGATGAACGTGGACTACCATTTACATTCAGATCTCAAAAGAATTTAATGATTGAAATGGACAAGTTTACAGTAAATCGTACGTTGCCAAATATTTATGATTCTATATTATACATTTGAATAACAGTTCACATTCTGTAACATTCTTTTCATCGTGATGTCTTCCAGACTTTTCGAATACATATTAAATAATTAGATTTGCAAACGTACTGAGTCGTTTGAAAGCAGTAAACGTAGCTTATATTAACATTATATATCGCCCTAACGACGAGATGTATTTTTAGTACAATTTTAAGTACAATAGTTTAATTGCAATGTCTATCTTATTGCAGTTCGTCCAGGTGAAAATACAATTGAACGCAAATCAACGGAATCATCAATAACTATACCTTTCGAGAGAACTTTCCGCAATTTAGACGAAAATAGGCCAACAGGAGTTGAAGCGTTGGACGAGTTCAACATGTGCGGATGTGGATGGCCACAACACATGCTTGCACCGAAAGGAAACAGAGAGGGCTTCCTAATGGAATTGTTCGTTATGGTGTCTGATTATACTGGTGATGCTGTGAGTATTTTTCCTTATACTTCGTATAACTTTAGTATTGAATATTTTTTGACTGTATTATCATACTATAAAGTATTTATTTTCTTCATATCTTAATAGATAGTTATACTATAAAACAATATAAAACATTCTTTTTACAATGTAATTAGATTTGTACGTAACTTTTAACTTAACGAATAAGGTTTAGCTAATTTTAACATTTATACGTGGAGAAGAAACACTTGCCTGTATGAAATGCATTTATCGGCTACTCCTTATCGTACTTTTCTGTTATTCTTCTAACGAATTTAGTAAAAATCGCCCAAATTGTTTAAAAAAAAATTATATTTTAATAGATTATATAAACCGGTTTAGAAAATGTTATACCAATATAGTTCGACTTCATCTCAAAAAGTAAAATATAAAATAAGGAAATGCGAAAGAGCAATTATAGTGTAAAAGTTACATATAAATTTTTCTTTATTTAGCGAAGGGCAATACCTTTATAATAATATCTACGATGCATTAAATGTTTTCAAAGTAGATCTTACTATTTCACTACATAGTATAATATAATATAGTATAGGTGAATTTCAACCAAAGAAGACAGTACCTTTGGTTGCGTATATGTATGTACTCATTATATAGGGTATTCGGTTACTCCTAGGAGGAACATTAAGTGGTGATTTCCGAAGTCAATATAAGACGAAAATTAACAATGAAAAAGTTGCGTTTGAGGTTTCGTTTTTCAATAATTGACATTTTAAAATATCCCTGAAGCCAAGCAAACCTCCCTACACCAGTGAATATTGGACATGTCAGGACACGAGGGTACAGTGATCCTCAAAATCAACGACACATGGTCGGCACCTTATTTCGTACAAGTCGTAAATAAAAGAACAACGACATTTAACGCCGTAAACTGCATTATCGACTTCTTCGTTTGTTTCACTAGGATACATGTGCATGTCAGTAATAGTGTCGCAGAAGTCGGTAATGGCGTTTACGGTGCTGCATGTTTCTGTCTTCTTTTCTATGACTTGTATAATTCGTGGAACCGATATAGTGAGGTCGTAAAATCAGCCAAGCATCAAAGTATACGTTAAAACGCGATTCGAGCAATTCGAAGAAGATAACGAGCTCGAGCCACGCTCAAGGCCGTT